TGCCATTTTATATTTGTATCAGTACATAAGCTTATGCTTATTGGTTTCTTTTGTATAAAAGCAATCGACTTTGACAGTATTTTGCACTTTCTCCGCTTTCCTTTGGTTTTTATAATTTTTCTTCAACATATAATTGCAATATGTTTTTTACATCTTACACTGCCTTTTTGTAAATATAAGAAAATTTTGATTCAAGCTTTGTTTTGTAAAAGATTATGCTTAGCCGTATTATGCAATAAAACTTTTTTCAACTTTCTAATAATCAGTGTATTGATTTTAAAACATTGGATGTGACTATTTTGTAGCTTCTATATGGCACAATTCTGTACTGATAGCTCATCAAGAACATCCATCCATCCATCCATCCATCCATCCATCCATCCATCCATCCATCCATCCATCCATCCATCCATCTATCTATCTATCTATCTATCTATCTATCTATCTATCTATCTATCTATCTATCTATCTATCTATCTATCATCTCTGTACTACCTACCTACTTTCCCCTAAAGAAGAAATGGAGAAAAATCTTAACAAAGGTAAAAACAGCGTCTTCCTGCCTCAAGCAGAGGTTATTCTTTAGAAATGGAGATTGTGTAATCCATTCACAAAGACAATTTGTTGAAAGAAAAATCAGGTTCAGTTCCAAGCTGGGAATAAGATGCTGGAAATAAAATGGAGGCTAAGATGCTAGAAATAAAATGGAGGCTGGCTGCTTAGTAAAGAAGGTTTAATGATGAGCAGAACCAACAGCAGCATATAGTTCTGGGACAGCTGACAAAATGGCTGAGTGGATGGATCTTTATAGGGTTCTGATTGAGAGACTCCAGGGAGTTGTGCAAGGTACAACCTTGTGTCTTTTGCTATTCTAATGGAGGTGGGGAAATCCTATTATGTCTTAAGCTCATGTCCTGTCCTTAGAATTGGGTGAGGGAATACAAATTTTTAATCCCATCAACTCCAGCCTTCTGTGGGGGCTGTGGCTGAAGGCGTTTTGCTTATGAATAGGTGGCCCATCTTTGTGAATGGATTACAAAATCTCCATTTCTAAAGATTAGCCTCTGCTTAAGGCAGGAAGACTGGGGCTGTTTCTGTCTTTATTAAGATTTTTCTCCATTTCTTTTTTAGGGGAAATATTCTATCCTGCCTTTTTTAATATTTTAATGAAAATATTTCATTCTCTGGGGGTGGGGGTGCTGACTTCCTACAAAGACATCAAAAAATTTACTGAGTTTCAGCAAAGTAATAACTACCTCAAAGAATAGCATAGTCCAAGAAGATACTTTATTTTTAACATATATACAAGCATACACAAATTACAAAATGAAAAGGCATATTTATTCATATACAATATTCAAAGGTGAATTAGTAGGCTGTTTCTAATCATTTTAAGAGTTTAAAAATGGTGAGGGAGTAAGTTAGCATTTTCCGAATAAGTGGGGGAAGGCACTATGGAAATGACACCATAGAATAACTTACATGTATCTGCAGATGCTGCTGGTAGAGCGGGAAGATGCATAGCTTTCAGGAGAGAAAGAGAAGAATTAAAAGTGACAAGAATTATCTTGTTTCAGATCCAGGAAGATAGGACTTTCAACTTTGATTCATCAAAAATACTATCATACCATTGGCACTAGATACTCTCCATTCTTCCGGTCTCACAATTGTTTAAAAAGGAAAATGTTCCAAATTATTTAGGCACTTTTGGACATGTAGAAATAATGTCGAATATGTCCTCTGTAGTGCTAATCCATTATTTAAAAGATACAGAAGTCCTTGAGTCAGGCTTGACTTCTCATTACTGACAACCATGCAGGTTTCTAGCAACAGCACAGAAATTTTTCCTTTAGATAATGCAGATAATGCAAGGTGTTCCAAAATATTTTTTGGGACTTCCTAGTGTGGTTTCCATTATTGGGACTTCCTGGTCATCTCCCATGTAAGAATAATCTGGATCTGACCCTGCTTAATCTTCTGAAGCTCAGTCAGGGTCAATTAAGGGCTCATGATAATTTTTGTCACTCAAGCAAGCCACTGTGTAACACTAGACAATCAGCAAAGAAACTTCCATTTGAGACTAGAATTGTTAATTTTCTTGCAGTTTTAGTTTCAATGCTGTTCATCCACTTGCTGCAATGAGGTTTGAGAAACGCTTTGCATCTGTTGTTGAAACATTACCCAACAATCAACATTTGTTTAAAGTGGTGCTATAAGAAAGCATCAAGTATGAAGAAATGGCCCATCTGTCTGGAAATTAAATCCATTTAAGTTTGGAGACTAAAGAATGTTCAAACAAATAAAAGGGACACCCATGGGTTCCTCAATATCAGGAATCATTGCAGAAACAGTCTTGCATAAATTAGAACACCATGCATTTCAGAACTACATACCTAAATTCTGGTGCTGCTACACATTTGTCATCATAAAGAGAAATGCACTTAAAGACTTTCATACCATACTGAACTCCATCTTCCCTGACATACAGTTCATAATGGAGGAAGAAAAAGCTAGGCAATTACCATTTTTAGATGTACTTGTCAACAGACAAAAAGATGGAAACCTAGAAACCACAGTCTATCACAAGGCCACCAACATTCCACGCATTCTAAATTTCAACAGCAATCATTCTCTGTCACACAAAAAGAGATTCATCAGAACACTATATGGCAGGGTGTAGTACCCAGCAAATCTAACAGCTGGAGAGCAGGTACCTAAGTGAACAATTTAAGCAAAATGGGTACCCACAATCATTTGTCACAAGAAGTCTGCAACACAGTGGGGAGAGAAAGAAAGAAACAAGGTACCAGACCAACCACATGGCACGCCCTGCCATACATCAAAAACATTTTGGATGTTATAGAATGCAGCTTCTGAGATTTGCAAGTGGGCATCACACACCGCCCAGAGGCTGCCATACAAGGACAAATTATGCATTGTAAAGATCTCTTGGAGGTGGGAGATACTTCCAGTGTGATCTACTGAATCCCCTGCATGGATTGTCCCTGTGACTATATAGGACAGATGGGAACTGAATTCATTGGTAGCCTCACACTGCAATGAAGGAAAAACATTCAATTTTGCAGCTACTAAGATTGTTGGCTGGGCAAACACAAAAACAGCCAGGGAAGTGACTGAAGCCCGTGAAACAGGCTTGACTGAAGCCCGTGAAACAGGCTTGACTCATCAGTCAACAGGTATGCTGATTTACTATCACCCTATCAAGTACTGTGCTTAGAAGGTGAGGGCTGATCAGCACAAATGACAGACAGCAACTTAAAAGCCAGCCATCAACACACTCCAATCAACATCTAAAAAGCCGCATACAATAGGCACTATAAATACCACACATAGAACAGCACACATTCTGCTAGAGAGAAGTTCCCTGAAGATGGGCTCCAGCACAAGTCTGAAAGCTAGAAGATAAAACTTTTGGTCCAGATTGGATCCTGCAGTTGTACAGAATATTTGTAGCTCGAGTTGTAGATTTAGGCAGAGGTTTGTCTTCCAAGCTTGTTGCTTGGCTCCCGGATGTTTCATTACCAAACTAAGTAACATCTTCAGTGGGCTACAAAGATCAAAGACACAGAAGGAAGATGGCACCAATATAATATACAGAATCAGTTTCAATAATTAACCAGTTCCATGTCAGGCAGACAGGACGACAGCTAAAAACCAGAATCCATTAATACCAGCTGGTTGTTAAATGGAATGACCTAAAGTCCCTGATCAACAGTCACACCAACAAGCACTGGTTCAACTGGGATGAAGCCGAAGTCATCGGCCATGCCAAAATCTGTCAGGCACGTGAGTTCATCGAAGCTTGGTATTCCACCAACAAGTCCATCAACACATTGAGAACCAACTTATGAACCAATAAGGAAGCGGACCATCCGAACCAACAACCAACAGAACTGACCATCCCCTCACCAGTAGAATTTCGTGCCTCACAGCAATCAGTCAGAAGTCACAAAACCAGAATCAGTCTTGTAATTCAACCAGTCTTTTACCAGTCACAAGACCACCCAGGACCTCCTATATAAACAAACATTTCACCCCAAAACCTTGCTGAAGATGTTACCTAGTTGGTAATGAAACATTCATGAGCCAAGCAGCAAGCTTGGAGGACAAACCTTTGTCTAAATCATTCAAATTTGTTTCCAATTAAACATATACCATAGAATTACTCTGAATGCACTTTTAGGGTTTAAACCAATCAGTTTTATATTTGAAGTTTTAACAGAAGGCATTGCCTTTAATTGGAAGAAGCAAAATTAGGCTGAATACATTCCATCATGTGTAGCTTTCCCATGCAGTATCAAAACACTGAATACTGCAATTCATGGTAGAAAAGGATATTTCTTAAGGTTTAACTTATATATAAACAAGCTGCATTGAATTCTATTTGGTATCTTTGTGGCCAAATGAGCAGAAGGCACTTGGCAAATGTATGCTTCTTAAAATGCATGTAGATGAATATCGGTTAATGCTTTTTCAAAAACCACAAATACAGTAAAAGTATTTCCAGATGGAAAAAAATCTACCTATTAAGGAACACGAATATATAATTGACAACCCTCCATTTTTTCCACATGAAACCAGGCATGTTAAGCTATATAGCCATTCACAATGCTTAGAAAATATATGAAGTGTTCACAATGCCTAAATGCATTATTAGCCCAAACTGGGGTAAGCATAATAAGAATATAATTAGAGACAAAATATATGCAATATCAACAATCAAATTGTATACCTAATATTGGTTTTATCTGGTGGGGGTTGTAAATATGTCTATGTTTTTAAATATGTTGTGAGCTGCCCTGAGTCCCGTTGGGAGAAGGGCGGGATATAAATCAAAATAAATAAATAAATAAATAAATAAATAAATTGTACTTTAATTTTTGAGATGCAAGGTGCGTAATTATATTTAAAAGTTACAAAAATGGTACCTAGAATGTTTGTTATAAACCTAAATCATAATAACGAGACAAACAAGCAAGTCGGGTCAAGCAGTGTTGTCCAAATTTAATTAGTTGTTTTGCATAAGATACAATACATTAAAATCAGCTGAGAAAAGAACTGGTCATTTTTGCACATGATCAATCAAAGGCATTAGCTGTGTGAAACCATGGCATTTTCTTAGGGAGAAAAAGGCATTCAGAATTAATTTATCAAGGCTCAAAATATTTCACATAGACCTCAGAGAATGGAAGAGGCAAGGCCCAAATGAACCACATGTTTGTCATTCCAATTATTTTACAGAAAAGCTTTCATTCCACGTCAATTTTCAAAGCACTCCTGAAGTTTCCATAGCAAGGCTTTTAAAGAAAGGTTGAAGGATTACATAGATTCAAAGACTCAGTGGGTCTCTAATTCCTTTTTGATCTCTATAACGTATGGATGATCTTTCCCATGCGCTATCTCCATGATAGCGATTGCCTGCAAAAGGGGGAAAATACAATTGATTCAGACAGCCTTGGTTTATGAAATATGCTCATCAGGGATTCCAAAGAGTCAGAAACCTCTGACTGGTTTTTGTCCTCTTAAATGTACCCCATTGAAAACAGCCCATTTGATTGTAAGTATCAAACCGTATTCTATACACAGAACTTTTGATCCTAAGAGATCTCTGAGCTCTTTTGAAAGGCACAGAAAAGCAAAAAGTTAAATGACATTATATCTGCTTTTCTGTTCCAAACTTAACAGAAGAGGACTTTTGCCTTGGGCTGTTTCAAGCCACATTTTTATATATATATATATATATATATATATTGTATTAAAAGATGGAGTTTGGATGCTCAAGAAGAGTAGGTGATACTCTCTCTGTAACCTAAGTAACCATATAAGTAATCTCTGCCTTAATTTGTGCTAAAACGCTTGCAATCAATTGTGTCACAATTAGGAGGGAAGTACTTGTACTTATAAATTGTGGCAATTTTCTCAGGTTTTTTTCCTAGAATGAATTAATCACTGTTAAAATATTTCAACAGACAAAGATTTAAGGTAATACTTTATTTTTATTCATTTATTCATTTTCTGTTTTATTTTTTTAAATAATTCAAGGCAATAAACATACCTAAAAGAGATTAAAAATTCACCTTGATGATTCAAGTTGTTGTGTTCAGTTAATAGGCCCATCAAAAGCAAATAGGATTAAATTGAAGTCATTATATATGGAGGCTGCCATCTACGGCTTGAGCACCATCTAGAAGCTTCAACTGGTCCAGAAGGCAGCAGTGCAGGCGGTGATGGGACTGCCTCAGTATGGCCATATAAAGCCTCAGCTTCACAACCTGCACTGGTTCCCAGTTTGCTTCCAGGTGCAATTCAAAGTGCTGGTTGCTGCCTATAAAGCCTTAAATGGCATAGGGCCTAGTTGTCTCCTGTAATATCAACCAATCTGGCAGGATTGGTGCACTCCGGATTCCCTTTGATTGAACAATGGTATCGATTGTGACTCTAGAACTCATTTTTTCTATAGCAGTGCTTTGCCCTCTGGAATGAGATTCCCCTGATAATTCAAATCACCCCCGTTTTTCTCAATATGTGGCTTCTTGCACAGGTCTTTGGCAAGTGTGATTGAAGCACCCTTTTTTTCTTTGTTTCCATCTGGGTTTGTGATTTCTGTCATCTTTATTCTTTTGCTGTTGTTATTATTTCCTTGTTTGTAAATGTTTTTAACGATTGCTAGCCTGCCTCAAGTCACTGAGAGTTGGGTGGCATATACGTTTTAATAATTATAATAATGACATTTATATTACAGATGTTTCCCTGAAGATACTTTCAATTGGAAAAGCACAACCAACTAGAATCAGATATACAAGATTTAAAAAATCGTTTGGAGATGATTTCTCATAACTAGATATAATTAATAATACAAATTATTCGGATACAAGAATAGGATACAATTGACAATTTGTCACAAAGCCCCTTTCCCAAGGTACTGAATTAATATGTGTGCTATTTAAAATCAGTATCTTATATGCAGTGATCACAGAATTAGCTAATGGCAGGAGATACAAAGAAATTGATGAAGGTGAAATGTCAAGTTAATTCTAAAGCAAATTAACAAGATTGGCCTTGAATCAATTTAGGTGGAATCACACAAAGTACCAAGAATCAGGGAATAAACATTCTCCATCCTACATGAATCATCAACTTACCATATTTTTCCGTGTATAAGATGCTATTTTTTCCTGCAAGCACCCTGTTCAAAAATCAGGTGCGTCTTATACAAGTCCAGCGTCTTATACACGAAAAAATAATGGTAACTTCCGCAGCCCAGGGCATGCCTGTGTGGGTTCTTTACATGCAGCTGCCATGCCACCTGGTGCAGGTGTCAAGCCCCTGTGGGCTTGCCACTAACGGGAAGGGGGAGGGGGTTAGATCGTCGGATGGTGGCATCCGGAGGCAGCGGATGGGACCAGCAACATGGATGGCAGTGACAGCCCTTTCCCTCCCTCGTATCTGTATGCTGGCCAGGGACCCTGTGGAACGTAGCTGCGAGGCCGTCCTGTTTGATAATAGCGGCCGGCTGAACTTCCGGATTTGCCGGCTCAGCTGTTTGGCATGGAGAAACGGTGGGGAGTTTAAAACCTGTCTTCGCTTCCCTTGCTTTGCTGTCATGCTGGTGCTCACGCCGGTTTGTTTACCAGGGTCGTAAGGCGGCTGCTGTGAACTGACTATGCATGCTCATCGTGCCGGATGCTGGTTAGGTGGGGTGGGGGTGGGGCTGGCCGGGAGGTGTCTATTTAGAGCGCTGGGAGGCGGTTGCTCCCAGCACTGACTTTGTTTGCTGTAAGCATGGAACTCACATGCCAGAGCGTCTTATATAAGGGCGCGTCTTATACACGGAAAAATATGGTATTTTAGCTGAACTGTCCTCTTGAATTAAGACTGACGTATAATTTATATAAGCTGCTTTCTGTAGTTGCTCCCATTAAGCCTAGAATACTGAGAACTTCAGGTTTCTTTTCATCTTTGCTCTCTAGTTTCTAGGGAGCTTCTATCATTCCTGCTTGGATGCTGATTCACTAGAAGGCATCCCCAGCAATTGTCCTACGGAAGCAAAATGAGTCCCCAAAATGAGAAAAAGGAAGCAAAATCTGTGTCTCCACGTCTATTGCTTACACATACACCCTCCCCACAACACATGGGTTTTTGTGAAGCCACAGAAAAAAAATATTTTGACTACCATATGCATTAACATTCAAACTATCTACTGAAATGCAATCTGCTTGGTGCCATATGTCAGCTTTGACCACAGCCAAGAACATTCCGTTTCTGAACAGCTCCTGACTATACACAAAACCATGAAAACTCAGAACAACTTTTCAGTGAGGGATCTTCTTGGAAAACCCATATGCGTGAATTAAACTCAGCTCTTTCTTTCTACTACCTGAACTGAAGATTTGGAGCAACCATGAGAAATACACTTGGACAATCTTTAGAATCATTTGTTTTTAAAATAATTATTTTGATTTGGGGGACACCTTTTATTTTACTCTTTCAACGGCAGGCAAAAGTTGAATGCATGATTCTGTATTTATGTAAAAGGGAGTAAATCCCATTAATTTTAATTTAATAATTTAATAATTTAATTTATATACCGCCCTTCTCCCGTAGGACTCAGGGNTTGTATGTCCAGTATTTATTTCAGTCTTGAACTCCCATCCTATTACCTGAGCATTCTAGCCCCATTTCTCTCTTCTGCTAGACAAACTTTTCTTGCTTTCAAACAAGTTTTAGAAAAACATTAAAATGGCAGTATGCAGTAATGTTCAGACTAGAGATTTGGAATGGGCCTATATCAGTCTAAAACAGGTAATAAGCATCATTCTGATCACTTTCACTGTCCAATTTGTAAAGCCAAAGGTAATGACCTCAGAGAGGCAGACATGTAAACAAGCTACTACAATAGGCCTGAAGTGCCTGGGATCAAGTCTTTTGGGCAAAGAGACACTTAACAATTTCCTAGATTTGGCTTGCCAGATGTCTTTTGCAGGAGTTCAGACAGGAATGATTAGAGGAGTCTGAAGGGATCAGGCAAATATACCACAAGTATGCCTCAATCGATTCAATCAGAATAGAGCTGGAAAGGGCCTTGGAGATCTTCTAGTCCAACCCCCTGCTCAAGCAGGAGAAAAAGAAAAAGAAAAAAAAGAAAAAGAAAAAGTAAAAGAAAAAAGATAAAGAAAAAGAAAAAGAAAAAGAAAAAGGAGGAGGAGGAGGAGGTGGTGGTGGTGGAGGTGGAGGAGGAGGAGGTGGCTCAGCCCTTTATCAATTATACTGTAGGGTGACTTCTCAAAGGTTGGTATTTATATCCTACCTGGTTAAACCAATAGTGCCATACAATGGGTTTTTCATTCATAATGACTTTTTGATGTCCTTGATGTTGAGACTTGATCATTCCAACTTTTACTCTAGTAAAAGAGTTGTTTGGAGACAAAACCCAGTTCATGACATCAAATGCTGTTAGAAACATACCATGCTGGTCAAAAGAAACTTTGTCTCCTATGGTATTATTAAAAGACACTTGTTTCAGAAAACGGAAGAGCTAGATGGAAGGGGAAATAAATGATTAGTAAACTGAACAAGGGACTGAATATTTGTGAAAATATCCTCAAATTCAGAAGCCTATATATACTCTTAGTACTTTTACTTGAGAAAAGATCCTTCAAATATAAGTCTCAAATCCAAACATTTCATATTAATTTAATTTAATTTAATAATTTAATTTATATACCGCCCTTCTCCCGTAGGACTCAGGGCGGTGCACAGCATATTAAAACAGATACAAACAAAATACATCAAAGAACAAAAAAAAAACAAAAAAAAACCCATAAAACCAAATTAAAAGCCAAATATTGGAAGCTGTGTGTCAATTAAAATTTTCTTAAAATCATCCCTACCTAAAATCCTCCCTAGGTCAGGCCCACTTGCTGGAAAAGCCATGTCTTGAGGGCGCGGCGGAAAGTAAGGAGATCCGGAATCATCCGGATCTCGGGGGGTAGTTTGTTCCAGAGGGTGGGGGCACCCACAGAGAAGGCCCTCCCCCTGGGGGTCGCCAGCCTACACTGCTTGGCCGACGGCACCCTGAGGAGGCCCGCTCTGTGGGAGCGTACCGGTCTATGGGAGGGAATCTGTGGCAGAAGTCGGTCTCGGAGGTAGCCAGGTCCAATGCCATGGAGTGCTTTAAAGGTGGTAACTAACCCCTTAAAGCGCACCCGGAAGACCACTGGTAACCAGTGCAGCTCGCGCAGCAGCGGTGTCACATGGGAGCGACGAGTCCCTCCCAACACTGCCCGCGCGGCCGCATTCTGGACCAGTTGAAGTCTCCGGGTGCTCCTCAGAGGGAGCCCCATGTAGAGAGCATTACAGTAGTCCAGGCGAGAGGTGACGAGAGCGTGAGTGACCGTGCGCAAGGCATCCCGGTCCAGAAAAGGTCGCAACTGGTGGATCAGGCGGACCTGATAAAACGCCCCCCTGGTCACGGCCGACA